TTTTTTTTTTTTTTAATTTCCCTGCTTTGATTCCTCCCTTCCTCTGTTAGGGGCAATGACATCTAGAAATAGGGTTTATCTTTTCTGCCTGTGACCAAGGATGAAGACAAAATATGAAGCAGATATTTAATGCCAATAGCAACAGAAAGGAATGGGCAGCCCGGACTTGTTCCTGAGCATGTCTTCTGTGTTTAAATGGATTTTTTTTTTTTCTCAAATCAAGGTTCTTGCAGGCACAACATCCCAGAGCCTCAGGATTCTCTTTAACTGCTCTGTGATTCTCTTTGCCTTGACCTGAATTCTCATCAACCAGGGATTTGTTTTTCTTTGTAACATTGACTGAGATAAAATCAGCTGAGCCTCTTTAAAAGCATTTCTGTTTATATAAATGAAAATGTAAGCACTGTATGTGTCCAATAGACAACAATTCTATATCAGCTCTCTCTACATCTTCTCTCCCCATGCTCCATGGAAAAACCAAGTTCAGGGGCAATATCTACATGGAAAGGGCTCATAGGTTACCACACAGCAGAAATACAATCCTAGATTACAATTCCCAAAAATAGAAAAAATAAATATTTTTACTGCAACCAGAAGCAGCCCAAGTTTTAGATAGGAAGACCTAGTTCCAACTCCCAGCTGTCACCAGGTATGGGATTTGAGGCCTCTTCGAGAGTCACTATTCTCGAATGAGAAAAAAAAAATAGATATGCCTTACTTCCCTCCCAGGTTTATTCTAAAGAGCAAATGAAATACTATCTACTTCAGATATCTCCATGGAGAAATATCTGTATAACTCTCACTCTACCTGTGTCTGTGTCCATGACTATATCCACATCTGTATCTATATCTACACCTTCACCTACACATGTAAGGATCAGGGATGCATAGCATAACTTTGTGTCATTGGTTTCTTATCTCATCCTAACACTTTTCTGTATGAAGAATGATCAGGTAGTTATATGCAGGCTGAATGCAGGGGAGAAGAATCGTGGCTAAGGACCCTACACAAGAGGCTGTGGTCAGTACTAGCTGATCTGAGCACACTTAAGGGTAGAGGAAGTAGGCTGAACAGAAAAGAATTAATTTAATAAAAAATGCAAAGGAATAATCAATAGAGATTGCTGATTGGAATTTGGGCTGTTAAATACTGCAGGAGGGAGGATGTCATCTAAGATTATCTAAGTACATAGATTTGGAGAGAAATTGGGCCCATATGAGACATACAGAAGTTAGGAAAACTCATAGTTTGAGGCAAATTTTGTTTGTTGTTTGTTTTGCAGGGTTGGAGGCAATGAATTATTCCACTGGTATACATAGGTTGTATGCTTTTGGGAAGCCCATATGTTTGTATTTCTACTCAGCACTCTATGTGTGGCTATGATTTTGAGAGTATCTCTATGTGTGTCTATGGCCTTGGCAGTTCCTGTATCTATGAAATTGCAGATTATTACAATATGTACTATACCTAACTTGAGCGTTTTTACTTTTAAAGCAAATCCATTTGCTTCCAATCTCCAAATCCATTTGGCATTTTGTGTTAATAATATCAGAGATTCGCACAGTCAGAGGAACTGTTGCTGCTCTTCTCAGGGATTTGTTTTAAGCATTTGAAGATGAAATGCACCCCATCTTATTATCTCCTGTAGCATTTCTGAAATGACAGCTGCTCCATCTATGTGGAGAGAATTAGCAGATGGACAGCTATGACTGGCTGGCAATAAATTCAGTGCCTGTAATTTCTGAAAAGCAGTCATCTCTCAAATAGAGTTCGAAGTCCTGCTTTGCTTATAAGAAGAAGAGAATGGTGATCATTGCTACAGTTGGCACTACGTATCTGCGGATTTGGAGGGCTGATTGTACTACACCATTTTTTTTTACAAGGGACTTGAACATCCATGGATTTTGCTATCTGCGGTTGGGGGGAAGGGTGTCCTGGAACCAATCCCCCTCAAATACCAAGGGATAACTACATTTTTCCCCCAATAGAAACTGCAAATTTACAGAACAAAATCATCTACTTCCTTTTGGTATTTACAGGTGCAGGCATTTGACCCAACTAGTTTTCCTCTTTTTTAAAGCTTTAGTTTAAATACAATCTAGTTTAAGACAAAGATTACGTGCACAACATGTGGTAGATCCAGAGTGCTCAAATATCCAGTTTCTCCAGGCATGTTGCAGTTTTAGCCTTGAAATTTCTGCATCCCAGGAAACCCTTCAGCAAATGTAAATTGAATGTTTGATCACCCTGTCTAGATGCCCGAATCCTAGAAGTTGTTGCAAAACTAGGATTCCTAACCAGAACTGGGATGAATTGTTTTGTACTGACTTTGAATATTTTTAGGTGGAGCTTTCATACTCCACTCAGGCTCAGGCACCTCCGTCCCTATTTTTACCTTGATTGTTTCACATACACGTCATCGGCCTGATCTTTTTAGGCTGCTAGAAAGTCTGTAACCTTTGAAACTGAAGTTTTTTGTGGGACAATCTATTCCCTTAAGAAAAAAGAAAAAGCTTCTGATCTCCAGGAAATATGGTCATGTTATGACCAAACAAAAGCATCTTGGCTGAAATTGTCGACGCGTGATTTATTGGCGCCAGTCCCTAGCCAAGAAGTCACTGAGTAGAAGCCACCAACTGCATGATATTTTGAGTAAAGGATAACCTTAAAGGCCAGACATTCTAAAGGGAAATGATGTCACTAAAAATCACTCTTTTAACATGAATTGTGCATCTTATTTATCTGCTAAGAACAGGGTCACCCAGAAACTGAGAAACAAATAATATGACCAAGGGTCTTAACAAACATACCCTGAACTACCAGGACTCCTGAAGCTAAGAAAGGACCAAAAGTCAGAGAAAGGAAGAGGAAGACTGAGTCACTTCCCAAAAGAGAATCTATAAAGGTGCGGTAATAATAAAAGATGATTCAAAAATCTCCCATCCATCCGTGACTGAAAAATGTAGAGCGGTGCCCGTCAGACTGAATGAATAATGCCAGGCTTGATAGTATTAGTGCTTCCAGCACAACAAACTATGGAGCCTAAAGAGAGACAGCACTTCTGAGATTTAGTGAGCAGTTTCACCATTCACTGCACATCCTAGTAACAGGAAGCAGTGAGTGCAGGAGGAGAATATCTATAAAGGCAAAGAGATGCATGAAAGCTTCAAGAACAGGACAGAACAGCATGGGGCACTATTGGCCCAGAGCTGTTCAAACAAACATTGCTTGGATGGAGAAAAACAAGACAGAGGGAAAAACAAAAGGCAACTTCGCTTCAAGGCCACTGTTGTTCTAAAGCTCGAAACAACTAGGGTTGCCAGGGACATATTATTATGTTCAGGATATTTCTGTCAC